TTTCATACTATAACATATATCGATATCATTTTAAAACTTTATAAGCCCATGCTTTTGAAAATTTTGAATTTGATGTCAGCCTATTCATAATCATTGAATTGATTATGCAATACTATTTAGTATAAAAAATAAAGAAAATTTTCTCTTTTTTAAACATATTTAAAAATTCAGGCTTATATTTTCTAAAACATTTAACATTATCAATTCAACAATCATAAGAGTTTGATTTGTAAAGATTAGCGTTTCTATAATTAAAATTTCTGCTGGTGTACACTTTTTTTTTTTATTATATATTGTACTGGTAATAATAGATGAACAAAAACAAAAAAAAAAACAAAAAAAAAAAAACAAAAAAAAATATGAAATCACAACCTATTACATTACTATATATACCTCGACAAAACCCTTCTATGTAAAGGTTCGGAATCGAGTAGCTTCACTGAAATTTATAGCGGCTGTAAAATTCGGCATAAAGATAAGATTGATGCATGTAATAAAAAATATAGAGAAAATAAAGCAAAGGAAGGTTAAAATGGTTACGTAAAATAGTTCGTAGTTTATATAAAAGAAAAAGAAGATGCTATATTCATTAAAGATCAAAATGTTTACGAAAACAATTGAAAGCCAAAGAATGCATATAAGGTATATGAATTAAACACATATTTTAAATATATTTTCATTTTTCAATATTTTTTTAATTATATCAATAAATCATTTAACTAATTAATCGTTATGTAATAATAGTGATGAGAGAAGTAATTAAAAATGCGATCAACTTCACAATTAATTACATAAGTTCGCCTTATTCACTAATTTATTTAGAATAAAGTATTCCAAATAGTACTTGAAAAATAATATGTATACGCCTAAAATTCATGAATTTTGTGATTATATATTTTTAATCATGATTTTTGAAAAATAACACTACTAAAACCAATGTTTTATTTTTACTTCTAATGTGCACCAGAAATATGCATAGCTATTTTGTTACCTACTCATACTTTGAATAATAAAAGTCAAATTTTTTTTGACAAAGTTGTCACGAATTGTTTCAGAGTAATATATAAATATAATTTATATAAGTTTATCGTTTATGAAAATTGTTTATTCTATTTATATAATATATATATATATATATATATATATATATAGTTTCCTATTCTAAAGAGCTTTATAATATTTATATCTATAATTTTAAAGAACAGATCAATAGAAAATTAGATAAATGATCAATTTTAAAAACAGATCAAATTTTACAAAAAAACTAAATTATATATATTTTGTAAATGACTATTCTTAGTATAGAAGTTTTATATGTTCATAACACTGTTATAAACAAAATGCATCCCTTTTGTGTAGATAGAATATAGTACATTAAAATACAACTTATTACTCACTTTTAAACCCAAAGATATATGATAAGAGAAAAATCTTTGTTTCATATTGAAATCCAAACTTTTAATAAGCACAGGCTTCTATATTTACCTAGGTTAAGTAATATTTGAAAATAAATGCTAAATCAACATTTTTGTAAATTATTAAAAATATGTATTATATTTATCACAAATGTTTACAATAATTAAAATAAAAAATAGATAACTCATAGAATAAGGTTAAAATAATTCTTTTATTTATACATTAATACTTAAAACATTAATATATTTCACTAATTATATATTTTTTCTTATACATATATATAGTAGATAATTTAATTTTCATCATATGAGTGTACGTGTGTTTAGGAAAATGGACAAAAATTCATAACTTATTACCATTACATTAGAACATCAGTAAAATTGATTTAGAAACATTTATTTTAAATATAAATTTATTAATAAAATTATTAAAGCCATAGAAATATTTAATGCTTATTTAATTTATGAATGATAACAATGAATAATTTATGAACTTTTAAATTATATTTAGTATATTATATATATATATATATATATATATATAAATTAACATTAAATAGTAAATATATAAATTTGGTATTGCGAATATATAAATTCTCTTTGTTTAAAACATTTTAATTTAAAACATTATTTTAAAAACAATCATTTTCATATCAAGCATATAAAATATTGAAATTTTAATCTTTCATTTTCATCAATTCAGTTTAATCTATAATGTAATTAATTACACCTTATAATTTATCAAAAGTCTCTTAGTGTTCGATCTAGGAATATCTTAATGCTAGACATCAATTTTGTAAAATACATTCTTCAAAAATTGATAAAGACCGGGATAGTTTCATTAGAATGGTGAAAAATTATAAGAATTTCATGACAAAAATTAATGGTCTACTATATTGAAACGAAAAAAAAAACTGAAAACAACCGATACTTGCACGCTTATAAATTCATGCTCGTGTAGCTGAAATGGTTTGTTACAAACTTATGTTCTCATGAAATAACAAATGACATTCTTGCATTCATTTCTTTTTCACTCTTTTCTTTATTTCATTAGCAAAAACTCTTTCTCGCTCTCTCTCTCTCTCTCTCTCTCTCTCTCTCTCTCTCTCTCTCTCCTCTCTTTCACTTTCTATCCGTTTTATACTACACAAAAGTCATTAGTCAATCGTGCTCACTGTATTGGCCTATGTGTCTTTCAAAACTGTAACATTTGAACTTTCAATTTTTTGTTGTCACGTTGGAACCATATTGAATCTGAATTATCTAATAATATATTCAGTTGTTATGCCTAACATTATCCATGACGTTAGATCCTAATTAAGTTTAGTCATACGATATCCTCATTTAATCAATAATCATTTATACGTTATTACATTTTTTATTTTTTATTTAAAATGCTTTAACAAAGCACGATTACGTATAAAAGCATTAAGCATCAATAAAAATTTAATTTTGCAAATATTTATTATAACCTTACACTCCGAATAATTATTTAATCAAAACATTATCATAAACAATAATTGAACCCCACTTTGAAATATATTAGTTAACTATGTTATATAATAATATATACACAATAAATGTTAAAAATATTAGTACATATTGCTATATTGCATTTTTGAATATATATTTTTAATGCGGTTTACAATTCTTTAATTACGTTGATTTCCTATAGTTGCGAATCTTTGAATTATATTGCAGCACGACTCCAACGAATAAAATATAACGATAATTATTTTTATTTTAATTAAAAAAAAAAAAAATTATTATTGTAAAACATTCATCGAAAGATAAAGAATACTATTCATAAATACGAATGAGTGGTACATACATCGATGAGCTAATTACTATAATTTCAAAGAATTTCAATTAAATAGATTCGATAACGTAATCGAAATATGTCATATAATACATCTGCATTCGTAATGTATAAAACTATAAAGTAGTATAACATAGTAGAATTATTAGTGTAATCATAAATAGCACGACTAAATAAAATTTTATTAGTTTCAGAAGAAATGGTAAGGATTGCTTTACTTACAGATTAGCACTGAAAATAATCAATAGTGTACTGTTTAAAAAAATGATTCGAGATTTATTCTCATAAGCGAGAATCTTTTCTCTACAAAATATATTTCTATATAAAGATATATTTCTATTAAAATATATTTCTTCGAAACCAAATCATTAATCATGTAAATATAGTTTTTATGGAAAGACTACGTACAAGTAAAGAGTAAATTAAGACAAAGTACAAAAGAAGAAAATAACGAAGAAGGAAAATCAAATAAATAATGAAAATAAAATTCTACAGTTGATCGAATATAAACTGCATCGAAAGTATATAGAAAATTAAATAAGCCTGATACGAGCTATAACATCTATTAATTTATAATAAGAATCGAATTCACTCATTATCGCTTATTCTTCGAAACATATTTTTGTTTTATTTTAATTAAGCGTAGTAATACAATTTTTCATAGATATAAGTATTAAATGAATCGTTGATATATTTGTATAAGAAGGATTTGTATTTCGAGATTGACGTACGAATATTTTAGAAATTTCATTGAAAAAATTTTTAAATTGAAAAGATATTTTGATTGTAATTGAATTCACAGTAATTCATATACGTCATCTGGTATCTCCCATTAACATTATGTTCGCATAACATTGATAATTTAAGCCACGATGCTGCTAATATAATTGAAGAGCTATTAATTAATAATAATTAAATATCGGTAAAATATATTTAATTTTTTAAAAAGGATATACATAACGTACTCTTTACTAATGCACTAAATCATCGCTGAGGTATCGCAATAAATTGATTTTACTATATAAGATCCGCTTGCAGGGTATAAAATTGATGTGTTTTTTTTATCTCTCTTCTTCTTCCATTCTCGCTCATTCTTCTTCTATTCTTTCTCTATCGTAAGCAAATTTACATTCATTCCTGTGCTCTTGTGTTTTAATTTACTTTACTTACAATATTCTACCAACAAAATTATTGAAAAATCGTTAACTATCAAAGCGTAATATAATATAATATGAAATTATATATAATTTTATATGCAAAATATAAAATTCTGATAAATATAAATGTGTTATCGTAGAATAAAAAATATATAATTGATTTCAGTGAAAATCATAAATTTAACTAACAATACAATCGGTGTAATAAAAATATAAATTAATATATTTCAAATTGAATTCACTATTTTGAATTTATCAATACATTACATATATATATATATATATATATATCTTTTATAAATATTTATACTTTTTATTTTACATAAACTCATAGTACAAAAATTGTATTTTGAAAAATACTAAAAGAAATTACATCATTTCAGTTTATGTAAATTAAGTAGTCAGTTTATAGTGTACTCAAAACTAGTTAATATTTGCTTTTGAAAGAAATTTGATATTCAGATCATAAATATATAATGATATTTACTGCATTTATAAAAAATATAAATTGGCGTCAATGTACAGAAATAATTAATATCATTAAATTCATTCATTCGTTATATATTTTTAATTAAAATTATACATAATTTTTATCTCAAGAATATAATCTCATTTAATATCGCAAAGTAATGCAACTCCGCGAAGCACCCAGAAATCTGGCGGTTTTTCAGTTTGAAGCCAAAGTGGAGTTACCAAGTGATTATATGTCCTTACAGGTTTCGTATAAACTGGGCACTAAAAAGAAATAATTATTCATAAAGTGTAAGTACCTTAGTGTATTACAATATAAATTATACTTACATTATATAATTTAGAACTTTTATCAGTTATATTATAAAGTGCATAAATGTGGATCACTGGCATAACAACGTAAAGTACTTTATTAGTTGATTCGCAAAGTCGATTATGTTTTCTATTCCAACCAGCACCTTCCAAATAAAGTCCATAAATATAAACTCCCTCCTTTGAATTAAACAAAAATTTTAAATTAATATATTCCATTAAAACGTTCTAGATTTTTCAATAATTGCGATGAGCAAAAGCAATAACATACATTGGGAGGAGTTTTTATATCCTCATGAACTAATCTTAAAACGTCATTATGAAGTGTCACATTATCTAACGCCCATCCTTTGTGCATACGAGTCACTTCTTGTCGCATTGCAGTTAAAAATCCTGCAGAAATATACAATAAATAATCATACAAAAACAATTATTATAAATTACACTTAAATAATAACGTTCTTTGTTATATAATGTAAAATAACAATATTATATATATATATATATATATATATATATATATATATATAATGATTAATTAAAGTAAAAATTAAAATAACAATTAAATACCTTGTGGATTAAAGAATCCAGTCATCCAAAATTTAGGGGGTCTTCCATTAAATAACCATTCAAAAAGTTGTTGGTTCCGTTCGATCAATTCTGTAAACCAAAATCCAAGTGTTGCAGATTGCCATGACTTAGCTTTCCACAATTCTGGAATTCGTGCATCATAAAAATTATCAAATGCATCTCGTAATTGCTAAAATTGAGAAAAAATTCATTTCAGTTGATGTCAGTTTTACTACTGGAAAATTATGCACATTTGACAAGAAATTGAGTAATACCTCATTCATAATAATAATTCCTTTAATAGCAAGAAGTAGATTTTCTAAAGTAAATCGTACAATATCAATAACTATTTGAATTCGATCAATTTCTTGTTTCAAAAATATATTCATTGGAGCTGTATTACCCATAATTTGCAATCTATATTAATATATTATAAGTTTGTCATTTTTAATATATTAATTATATAAAATTATAAGAAACAATAAAATGTGACTGAAAACGTACAAAAAAAAAGAAAAAAAAGCATAACTATAATTTATTTTACAAACCTTTCCTTCACTACAAATGGATCATAAGAAGGTGGCAATTTTTCTAACATTTCATTTGCCTGTTTTGAAACTACAATTTCTCTCGACTCACCCCCACCGCTTCCAGATTCTTTCGGCTGAACAAATATAATTGTATCGAGAATAAGTTGAGTTGTATTACTCTGATATCTAAAATTGTTTAAAATGATTAAACATTTGAAATAATGTAAATACTTTTTATTAATATTATTTTCTTGTATTAAATAGCTTTATTTTCCTTACGTAATATCTGCATTGGAATGGAGTCCATAAGCTTGAGGAGGATCAGTCGGTGGCAGCTCTTGTATTTTTAATATATAATTGCTAATTTGTTTATAATTAAATATTGGATAAGATTTGTAGAATATGAAGTTACTGTCGAATATTGATTCTTGTAACCAAACTTTCGCAAATGTATTTAAAAGCCTTTTATCGTAATCATCAGTTACACGTCCTCCATATTGAACTTCACCTATCATATAACTAAAAATTTATAATATTTGAAAAACTTTCCATAAATTTAAAGCGATAAATAGAAGATGGTGAAATAATTTTTATAAAAAAAAAAAAAAAAAAATATATATATATATATATATATATATTATATTTGTTATAAACAAAAAATTGTTTAAAAATCTTGTATTCATATTTAATACAAATTATTTAAATCGTGCCACAAATATAATTATAATGCTATGCAATAAAATACCGAATGGTTTGCCAACTAATTCCAATCTTTGAATCGTAATCATTTAGATGATTATTAATAAATAAGCAGGAAGCGAGCCAATCAGAAGAATTGAATTCGTATGGAATATTCCAACCGAGAGGTCCAAATTTTCGTCGTTCTTGAACAACAGTGTGCATAAATGATATTGTATAAATTAATGGAATATATTGCGAGGAATCGCATTGATCGAGCATCTCTTGATTCATGTTACTATACGTAGAAAGTAGTCCTGCTTTGATACCTAAATAAATAAATAAATAAATAAATAAATAAATAAATAAATAAATATATATATATATATATATATATATATATATATATATATATATATATACACACACACACACACACATATAGATGATTATTTAAAAAATGGATAAAAACTTCATCAGTTCTAACGGAAAAACAATTTTACAATTTAATCGTATATTTTCATAAATACTTGACAATAAAAGCACCTTATGTTTTAAAGTACTTTTTTCTTTTTATGATATTAAGTTAAGTTAATAAAATAAATACCTTGAGGAGGTTCAAACGTGAACTTTAGAGACATTTGAAGCAATGATATAGGAAAGTCCTTGTGTGGTTCGGTTGTGATCCACACCCGAAAGTGTGGATGGGTTTCGGTCATTTCCAAAAAGTAATTTACAAGTTCTATCATATAATTCAAGCCTAAATGACAATTTTGGCAAAGTACCCAAAATCCCTAAATACAATTACTTTAATTACGCATTTGATATTATTCAAATTTTAGAATATTATATTTAAAAAACATACAGCGACTCGAGCGTCGTTTATTAATTTCCTTGCATGAACTTCCTGACCTTGCCCCATAGAGATAGTTTTACATATTATTTCCGTTTTTTTAGCTAATTGCTCTATATTTGGTGTTGGGTCAGAGCCCATACTTAAAAGACCAATCATTGGTGTATTTGTTTTTGACTCTGTATATACTACATCCAAAAGGACGATTATTGGTTCCGCATACCTTTGTCCGAGAGAATTTGCTATATACTTTTTCGATTGCGAAAGAGCTCTGTCCATGCACCATGCCCTATTAAATTATGTAACTTGATGAAAATACATTGTTAAGTAATGTAATTTTAGTATTGTATAATATTGAAATTTAGCGCTTAATGTATTATATATATTTTAATGTTATTCAATCAAATAAGGAATGGTTTGTCAATAAATTTCTATTTTCAAATTGTAATCATTTGTCGCATTATTATCGAGTAAACTGCAAGCAAGTTAATCAGATATTGAGATTGACCAGAATTTCTTTAATTTAATAATTTAATGTCATTTTATTTAATGTAAGAGTTAATTGGAATGCAAAATATTCGATGTTTGAGGAATAATTGTGGTTCATAAATAATGTTTGATAACGATCAAGAATGAATGAATAAATAAACAAATAGATAAATGATATAATAAAGATCAATTGAATTTTAACATTTTTTCATCTAAACATAGTATTTATTGTCCTGCGTCTCATCGTATGACGTTAAATAAATTATATTTGATGTGTGATTAAGAGTAATGTAGAATATACCTCATATAAATTAATGTAAATTGTAAAAAATTCATAAATAATTCATTGTGCGGTAATTATTGCACGAATGCATGGTATTTTGATAAAAATTTCCAATGACAATTTTACGTAACTATAAACTAATTTAAATATTTATACATAATATAATATGCAATATAATGCAATAATATGCAAAACAATTAGGCTTAAAATGTATTTCTTCAATTACTAATTTTGAATATGATAGAATTACCTTATCAGTAATAAACGACGAAATGAATCAAAAGTATTATAACCATCTGGAATTATTTCTTCTTCTGGTGCCTCCTTTTCAAACCAACTTTTCCATAATTTTTCAGAGCTTGTAACTTGAGTCAATATGTTCTGAAATTTTGTATGAGATGACAAGGCCACAAGATTTAGCCATACAATGTCAGTGATCCATTTGATATGAGGAGGTTTTTGTTCAACATCATTTAAATCTAGAGCTGCCCCGCCTTTTAAAAAATACTGAAATTCTTTGTGTGAAATAGTACCGCGTTGCAAATCAATTTTCAAGGTCATAAGAAGAATAAACATAAATTTATGAACTTCATAAAGACCACGAGCCTTGTATCTATATATTTCATAAGTTAAGTATTCGATAATATTATTAATTCGTCTTTGATTTAATGGACTTTTATCTGATCTATGAAAAAAAAAATATATAAAAATTGAATATTATATTACAAATATATTGTTAATCTATACGTATTCTATTAAAAAAAAAAAAAATATATATATATATATATATTAAATAAATAAAATTAATAATAATTAATTGTAATTCTATTTATATCAGTGTAAATTATAGTTAGATCAATTGTCTGGAGTTGTAACAAAATCTTTAAAAACATCGATTTACAATTACGAAATAAATGCAATCGAGTGTAAGGCAAACATAAAACGTTGATAATAAATGCTTATGTCATTTTTTTTTAATTGTTCATTTAAATCAATGAAATTGAAGTACTTGCTTTTCTAGCGAAATGTCAAATCTATCTAGGAATTGAAGAAGAGAAGTTTGATACATGCAATTAACAGCTGCCATATCACAAATTAAAAAGTATAAGACACTGCCACGCGTTGCAACAGGCCGAAACTCTTCCCGAGTTGTATTAATTTTAATTTCTGTATCTTTTGCAGTAATTAATTTCTCATTTACTTCAGCGGCTGTTTTCTTAGTATTATTTAATACAGACATCAGTTCTATATCTTCGATTAAAGGACCCTGGGTTATAAAAATCATATAAGCAGTTTTTTATATCAACGTCATCAATTTTCAAAATTTATATGCAAAATGCTGTAATGAAATATTATTTACTTCAACTGTAGTTAATTTGTGAAGCAGATTTGTTTCTAGATCTTTTATTTTTCTTCTATTTAATGTAACATCTACAATTAGTTGAGTCCTTTCAGCCTCAAGTTCGTTCTTTTCTTTTAAAATTACTCTTCCTAAAAGTTGATCTTCTAAACCTTTTACAGTTACTGTAAAGTCTATAATCGAAGTTCGAGCAAAAACCTCAGGTGGGTATGACGGATTTGGTAATTTCGACGTTATATAAATTCGAAAGTCTTTATGAATATCAACTTCTTTATCTCCAAGTACAACCTGAAGATAAATATATATTATATTCTCAAATTATTCCAATACATTTATTTTTAATTTCATATCAATAAATGCAACTGTCGCATACTTTTTATAGCTTAAAATATAAATAAAAATACCTTCAATGATGTACCAATTTTTATAAAATTTTTTTCTAGTAAATTATCGAGTACAGGATCTAATTCTTCACCAACATCCTGAATTAATAAAGGACGACCGATAGAAACGCTATCTTCTAAGTGATTTCGGAAGTATTTATGCGTGAGTAATGTCAACTGAAATAATAATACAATATATTAATAAATAAATTTTTATATATACATCTATACTTATTTATTAAATATATGTTATGAAAAATATATTATATATTTATAAACAATCTAGATTAATATTTAATTTTTGTTTTCATTATTCGTTTAAAACACAGTATTTTTGTATCATTAAGATGAGTAATTAAAATGTTTTCTAAAAAAGTATTCCCTAATAACTATAAATTCAATATGCGACATCTATTAATTTATAGATTAAAAAAAATTATTTTATGAACGCATTACCTAAAAAAATATCTTGTTGTAATTAAGATTTTATTTTATTAATATATTACCTAAATGAATCCTTTTCTATTATTAAATTTTTATTTTCTTAATATATTACAAAAAAGAATATCTTTTTTTCGGTCATTTTTTTGTTTAAAAATTACCTGCAAATCAAACTGTTTCTCTTTATTAATTACCCAAGTTTTTCCTTGTAATTGAGGATCAATGAGTAAAGGATATCGCGAACCTTTTGTTACAATTATTGCATTTTGAATGGAAAGCTCATCATTTGGTAATTCTTGTAAACTCCATTCTCCAATCTAAAATAATAAATATGAGTAAAATGTATTTCCTATAGCTTTAATTTGAAAATTTAATTTGAAAATACTTGTAATTTACCGTTGCTGTATCAGATAAGGAATTAATAATGTTAATATTTTGCGACACAGGTATTTTTCGTTCTTTAATAAATTCCTCCCACATTTTCTGTAAGTGTATGCGGAATTGTTGATTAAAAGGACCGCAGTATGATAAAAATCCAGTTAATATGAGAACATCGCCAACTAGTCGCTCGATCTCAGATTGGAATAATGCAAGCTGACCCGTCCAACGTGATCGTTCCTCTGATAATCCATCGATCATTGCTTTGGCTGTATCCATTTTTTTTTGGCACAAATCAGCTAAATCGATTATTTTCTAAAATAAATCACAATGAAAAAAAAAAAAAAAAAATTAAAATGCTTTCTTAAATTATAATCAGTCATTCGTATTTAATAATTATACAAATAATATTTAGAAAATTTCATTTTCTTCGTAAAATGATAAATATTGACTTTGATAACAAATATCAATGAATCAAACCATAATCTTTAGATTCTTAATAATTTATAATAATTGCACTAATGCGGTATCTTAATCTTAATTTACTCAATGGCAGTAGTAGAGTAACAAAAATCCTTAAGACGGGATGTCAAGGCAAAGGTAAGCTTAATTTTTTATCATGGTAAATCCAACTTCCCTGCATTCGAAGATCTTATGCATCATTTATTATTTCAACAAATCATATTAAGGACATTAGCCAATATCACTATTTATTTAAATGGCAGAAATAAGGTAATGGAAAATTGACAATAGTAGGAATAAGATGATGCCAAAAGAGTAGTGAATTTTCCAAGTTGGACGCATTTAATAGCTATTTTCAGTTGAATTTAACTAGCATTGATTGGAAATGAGAAATATATCAACAGAATTTGTCGTACGATTATTAAATTTACAAAAGATATATTAGTTTGATGCGTTTCGAAATTTTATATTTACAACTTGTTCGACTGTAATGCATTATTTGCGATGCCAACACAATATATATATATATATATATATATCGCGGGCAGTAAAAACGCGTTCAAATTCAAAGCTAAATATGAGTTTTTTTTTTATTTATTAAATCGATGAGCTTGAAGTATCATTTCCGATATCTAATGGATTCTTTTTATTTCAAATGCGATAAGTAAAGAGAAAAATAAATAAGTGACATAAAATGAAAAGAAATTTCTCAGAATAAAAAGAAATTATGATAGATAAGAAGGTAACGTTCAATATTAAATAAAAGTTTCTGATAAGGTAAATGTTATTTCATTTTTTACAATATTATCTATACATATATAATATAAATATTTAAATACTTAATTTAATATAAATAAAACTAAATCAATATTATAATATAAATTAATTTTTCTGGCTTGAATAAAAAATTAAAAAATTAATTTCTACTATTTTTTTTTTTTTTACAAAATCCATTAATTATCAGAATTTTTGTTAAACACAATTCATAATTGAAATACAATTATATATAAAAAGTATTAAATATCGAAGTATACAAATAAAATTATTTCTAATTTTTAAAATAATTTTTATACATTTAAAAAATTCTGAAATTATTCTGTAAGATCGAAAAATTATAAATTGGTACCTGTCGTTCATCCATAATTGCATCGAATTCATATTGAACTTGTCTCAAGTCTTCGTCTTTGGCCTTCAAAAGCATCTCAGCTACTTCTAAATTTCGATTTGCCGCATCGTGCTTTCCTTGTTGTACTGCTAAATTTGCCTATCAACAAAATCAGTGATTATTCATTTATAAGAATAAATGTTAGATATATTAGTATTATTTACTTTCAAAGGAAGAACATCCTTATTAATGTCATAAAATGTAATCATAGATATAGTCCACTGTATCAAACCAGCAACATTACCGCAAGCTGATTTTGCAGCTTCATAATTATATAGATGATAATTCAAGTAAGGCATCATTAAGTCAACGGTTTCTGCATTAATATTGTCTTTTGGAAAATTTTGTAAATTAAAAAGAAATCTATTATCAGCCAAAACCTAAGAATCATAAGTAATAATCCTAATAACTAATATTTAATTATCTAAACAAAGGATTATTATCATATGTATATATGGTACTTTTAGAGCTTCAGTCCAAGAAGATACAAGAAAACGTTTTCCAGGATCGGGTACGACAGGATCTAATTTTTTTCCAAATAAAATAAGAACACAATCCATAATTAAGGTTATCAAATACGGTGGCTTCGCTAATTTTCGTACCGTTGAAATATCAGTGGCTTTAATCGTCTGTACACAAATTTAATTTAATATTATATGTGTGTGTGTGTGTGTGTGTGTGTGTGTGTGTGTGTGTGTGTGTGTGTATGTATGTATATATATATATATAAATATATATATATATATATATATATATATATGTATCAAATATACTTAAACAATAATATAATTAAATATTTAAAATTTTATGTCATTTAATAAATAATTACTAGCAAGGCAGCTTCGGCCTCTAAAAGGGCTGGTTCGGCAGCTAAAAGTTTCTTTTCGGCTGCCGCTTTTTCACTTGAAATTATTTTTAACAAATTCTCGGCTTCATCTTTTGTTACTTGCACTTGAGATTTTACAGTTTCCGCTTCTTCTTTTTTCTGATTAACCGTCACTAAAATCTAAACGATTATTATCTATATATTATAAATATTAATTTAATATATACTCTCAATTTATATAATCATACGACACATATTACATTTTTCTTAAAATTAAATTTATATAATTATTACGAAATAATAATAATAATTTAAATAAATTTTATAAATTTTTTCAAGTATACTTCTAGAATAAAAAACATTCATTTGATTTTAAATATAGTAGTATACTTATTACGAAAATATTTAATTAAAACCATAATTTTTAATTTAAACATTAATACAAAATTTTTATATACAGATAAATTATATAATAAATTAAGCTTTAATACTATTTAATATAAATTTAATAAACAAATATTGTTTTAACAAAAGCTATAATATTAATATTTTTTTAATTGTTATTATTTATGATTATCATATAAATATCAAATAAATCGCAAAAAAATAAAATATTGTACAAACTTCATCGAGAACGATTAATAATATTTTTAATACGTAAAATTAAATTATGGAAAATTTTGTAAAAATTAGACTTACAGCTTCAATTTGTACGTTTTTTATGGCAATATTTTCTTGGTTTTTAACCAAAACTTTTCGTAAATCATCAACTTGCGCAGCAGCATCTACTAACTTATTTAAACCATTACTCATGCGGTATGCCAAAACATTAATGTTCTTCAAATTTTCCTCGTAAAGTAATTTATAAGCTTCAATAAAAGTCAAAAAAGATTTCGGCGTTACGTAACACTGTCGCCGAAATCTATTATAATAGTTAATACATTCATCACTCACATTATCCTGCACATCACCCATTATTTGTATTAAATTATTTTTAACCTCATTTGTGCAGACGAAATTATATGAATTCATAAAATAAGCACTAACTGCATATAATGCATCTTTAGGCCATCGGAAAAACCAATTTACCGTGCAACCAGATATTAAACCAGGAAATTTTAATGCTCTATATCGGAATTTTTCGCCTATCTAGAAAAACAAAATATATAATTTATTTTACTCAATTTGAATAGAATGTATGGTAAATAAATATTTTTTTATAAGTATATTGATACCAAATTACGTTACAAATTACGAAAATAATGATTTACATTTGAATTAATAAATTAATATAAATATATGAATTGGTATGTGTACTATAAATGGTACTAAACATATTATTCCCTTAGATAAAGCATAACTTGATTGATTTATTGAATTATTGAATGATAAATCAAAAAACCAATTGCTTATAAATATTAGTATCACTTGACATACATTATATTTATTTATTTAAGAACTTTTAAACTTTTAAGCATCTATTGATATTCTATTGATATATGTTGATATTGGTATCTATTGATAAATATTACAAATTTGTTTACCCTACAACTTCTTAAATTAAAATAAATTTGTATATAAAAATTTGAAAATGTATACAATATGAACTAACCGGTGAAAAGCATAGAACAATGTGCAAATTATTTCGTGCACGTGATATAAAAAATTCGTATAAATTATCTTGTGAAGGTATTCTTTTTGGATCAAATTTCTTCATCAAAGGTACAATATTAGAAAGAATCTCATCAAGTTCATCTTTTGGAAACAAATTTGCTACTTCACCAACGCTTAAAATATTATTAATAAATTCAAGAAAGCTTTCTTCCTTTATTTCATTGTCAGTAAAAATAAAAGTAAGTCCTTTAGATCCTGTCCCAGCGATTCGATAAATATTACGTAAATCTTCTGTTAGGTTTTGTACATTATAAGATCTATAATTCATATTATCTATATTAATCTATATGTATATATTAATATATTATAGATGCTATTATATATACTATTATATATGCCAATTATATTTTACATTACAAAAAATTTTAAATGATAGTTTTCAACTTTAACTTTTTCAAATGTTTAATATGAACAAAATAAATTTTCAAATCAAATAGAATCACATGAACTTTAGTTTAGATTAATAAAACTTATTAATAAAACTTATTAACTTATTATGTTCGATAAAATATGTGGGAAGATTTAAAAATATATATTAGAATAGAATAGAAATTATATATTTTTTTATTTAATTGTTTATAATTTGATAAACTATATATTCAATGTCTTATACTTTTTTTATCTGTCTCTAATATAATAATTCTTCTACATATAATATTTATTTATTTTTAATCATATTATACTATATTGATAATTATACATTCAATTTGACTAAATATTTAGATATATAAACCATATGAGATATTTCGTTAATATACCGTGAAGTTTGTCAATGAAATTTTTATTTAACACAAATTGTCTCGAATTAAATTTATCCTTCGAGTTATGCTCTATTATAATATGCATACGGTTGTTTATATTATATTATATTAAATGCATTTATAGAACTATTATTTTACACATATAAGTAGCTATTGATTAATAAATAATTTACTGTTTTAACAGTAAATTCTATTCACATAGTAAATAAGTATCAATAATAATACTAATAATTTATATATTGTTGAATATATATTTTTAATATACTTCTAAATTTTCTAATATATTTATAAATACGCTTTCATTATACTTTATATTGTTTATTTTTAAAGTATACTTTTATATCAGTTACCTTATATCAAAAAATAATTATATATATTTGCTATGCTTATTGTATTATATGATTTGTATAAGAAAAAATAGCAGAATTTTAAACAGATTAGAAATTGAATCTGAATCACAATATGTGAAGCCTGATTAACGTAAATATCATATAAAACATAATAATTTATATTAATAAAGAAAAGTTTTATAAATCAAAAAGCAATCTCAATTTAGAAATGCTAGATAACATAGATAAATTTTAAATAGAAATATTCTTTAATAGTAAGAATACCGTACATTCGGGTAAATTATTAACTGAATCTAATAATTAAATTATTAAAGGTTAAATTAACAATATAATTAAAATTAAAGTTAAGAGCATGACTATATTTATTATACTATTTATTAATAGTTTGTATATAACGATATTGATTTACAGTTCCGTTCATATTTTGATTATTCATTTTATACATCCGATTTTCAATTAATCACGGCTTATTTATTGAATTTGCTTAGAATACAATTTTTATATTTTTAGAATATTTGATTTACATACATAGAATATTTGAGTCACATAAGATCACTATTTCTTTTACACTTTTTCGAGAAATTGATATTCCATAATTCATGTTTTTTTACCAATCTCTAGTATTTCTTTATTTCATAATTACAAATTAAATAATGTGACAATAATATAAACATCAAATTAATTCCTCAATATTTTTAAGCATTAATTTTTGAAAACCGATAATTAATCATTCATTACAGCATTAATTTGTAATACACCCACGTTATTTTTCTATAATTGTACTATAAATTTTCTTTAAAGCTTTATGTAATATTCTAGTCTACTTTCCTATTATTAATAATAATAAATTTAATTAAAACTTTAGAACGATATAAAAATTTATAAACTACGTATTTCAATAATAATAGCGATAATTGAATGATTTTTTATTCTTATGGGTATAAAACTTATTATAAAAGATTAAGAACTTTCGTACTAAAAATAATTCATTTAATATAATTTTATATGAAATAGATGAAATCCAGACAAACCAACCTGGTTAAAACTATTTGAAAGAAGCTATAACCTGCTATAAAAGAAGCAAGTCGAGTTAAGGATTGTTTGCCAGATCCTCCAATACCGACCAACATCGCATTTCCTCTTGGTATCCCAAGAATTCTAGATATTCGTATTAAATGTACCAAAGCATCGTGAAAAAATACCAAATCAAGTGTAATTCCACGAATCCATTCGTTAAACAGTTCCATAAATGACTTCACTCTTGCAATAACAATATCATAACTGCAAAAATATATTTCAATAATTACAATTATAACTAGTAAAATAATAACTATCGAGGTAAAAATTTATTAAAAATTACCATTATAAATAACAATATATATTTACGAAATAAATATTAAAAATATAAAAAAAAAAAAAAAAAAAAAAAAAAAAAAAAAAAAAAAACCAATATCTCTTATGTACTATTATTATATAGAAAACAAAAGATCAATGGGTAAAAAATTATTTTTAAAATATTTGCGTTTTAAGCTGTTATGCATATATAAAAGAACCTTGGAATTTCTTCATAAATTTTTGGTGCTTCAAATACGAAATCGTCTGGTTCATCGCCAGTAGGTTCAGGGGGCTCACGTAGAAAGTTCACAAAATATGTTTCCGTTGGATCGTAGTATTTTAAATCTGGACCAAGTAATTCCCGAACAGTTTGAAGCAACATATTTTTAAACCACGTAGTATCATTAATTTCAATAAATCTTCAATGGAAATATGTATGCAAATTGTAAATTTATGAAATTTTCTAAAAAATGTAACTAAAATTAAAGTAAAAGAGACCTATCAGAAATTGCTCTAGTGCATTCATGTTCCCAAAGTTTTAATAATATTTTGATAGAATCACACTCATCCCTTTTAATATTTAATATTCCTTCCCATATACGTGACAGGTCTCGTAAATTAAATACATAATGGAATTTTGCTGGAGTTGGTAAAAGTTTTATTTTCGTGCGTTGCCATATAGTTCGTGTCAAAGGAATTAATTTTGGCAGAAATTCTACAATATAAGGAGGGAATCTTTCCAGACAAAAGTATCCTTCTCCAATCGCTCCTACACAAAAATATATAATTTTGTTTATTTAATAATAATGAAATATTTATTTGATCATTAATAGTGTCTATGAGGGTGTACGCACAGCCATCCATATACGTATATGTAAAGTGTCGAAAAATTTTAATTACATTAAAATGAAAGCAGAATTGCAATTGTATGATATAAAAAATATATATTTATTTACATCAAAATTAATATACTTACTGAAAATTGTATCCATTGATTTGTCAGAAGGTAGCGTACAATTAAATATATTAAATTGTCTTTTTAATCTCGGAGGAATATCATTTCTTCCACCACCAGGATGAATCATTGCAGCGAGTATTAGTAAGTCTTGTAGAAATACAAAATCACCTGGTTTTTCTAAAGAATAAAATCCTTTGTATTCCATAATTTGTCGCACTATCTCGTTTGTAACTTGATCACCCCATTCGTTTATTACGGGCATACTTATATCGTCAATAAAAACAGTCATTTTTCTACCATTTGGTGGACCATAAGTGTTTCCTACACGCTTTTCAACGTAGCTCTCAAAAATTCGCTTTTAATAAATAAAAAATAATTATATGATATGACTATTATACAATAGGTTTGTTGGTATTATAATATGCTTTGTAACAATTTATAAGCAATAATGAATTTAGATAACTACATCGGAAATTCGAATATTTAATATAACATAATAAGCTATTTAATAAAATTATATTTTTTTTTTTAAATATAAATCTTTTACTGTAATAAGTACTCGATCGAAATCATAGAAATCATTGAATGAAAATCTATTTACCATTTTCGATTTCATAATAAGATACATTTTCTCGGAAGTTTATAATTCCATATATATATATATATATATATATATATATATATGGATATTTCAATAAAAATGAAAAAAAATTAAATATTTAGTTTTAATCTTTAGCTATATTACTTGAACCATGTTTGGTGTGGAGGCAGAAGAAAAATTAAATGATTTATTTAGATGTAACTCAGGATCATATTTAGACATAAAGCTTTTTATCATAACTGTTTTTGCAGTACCCGGTTCACCTAAAACATAAAATAATATTATATATGTAATAGTATGGTTCTCGAAATCAAGGCAATATAAGTTTATATTGCATATGCTTTGAAAAAAATACTTCACATTTTTTATATATTTGTAAATGGGATTTATTTACCGATCAATAAAATAGCTTTATCTTGTTTTGCAATTAATTCGATAAGATATAACATTCTTGTATTGTCAATATTAGGCACTAAAATTGTATAATAATCTAGAATTTTGTCGTTAGGATAATTAAAAACTTCTACTCTTTCATTCCAATGCATCCAATTTCCAAACTTTGATACAAGATACTCAAAAATTGTTTCATCATTCTAGAACAACAATTTATATTGAACATACAAAATAATGTTAATTAAATAATAATTATAATTGACTTTATATCAATTTTGTTACGAACTTTGCATTTGGGCCAATTAAGTTTCGAAGGATGTTGTAATAAATACTCTTGAAAAGCTATACGCTCATCTTGTTCAAGAACTGCACCAAGGCTCCACATCATAGAAAATAAGAAAAATTTTTCTATGTGTCCGTCGGATAGTGTAGCTAAAAACCATTATTATGAAATAGAAAAAATTAAATATTATGTGCATTTATGTAAATGAAATAATTACCACTAGCTTCATCGCTTAAAAATAATCCCTGTAATATGTCAATGCATTGTTTTATATACATTGACTCTAAAAGCACCATTTTTGTCACCAGTTTAGATTGCACAAATTGATACGCATCATCATAAATTTTATTAAATAATTCTCGGAGGAGTAATACTTCATTATTTCGCCTTCCCAAAAACCACGCCTGAAAATAAATTAAATATAAAAGATATATACACTTTATATTTAATTTAACAAAAAATTCCCTAATGATAATTAATCATGCTACATTTTAACATTAACATACATAAAAACAATTTGTCAATCATAATTGTTTTATTTGCATAGCAATATCCCTGCTAATATAATATACATATTTTATTTTTATAGTAAAAAAAAAATATTTATAATTATTTGTATTTATTAGTTGTACAGTATACATTATGATTGTTTAAATAATAATTTTTCTTATTCATTATGCAAAAGGCTTTATGTTTATTTTATATAACTGGATATTTGATAAAGTAATTATGCTTTTAATTTATTATTCGATTACAATACTCATTGACATAATCAATTTCAATTGACATAGGCTAATAATATTAAATTTTTTAATCGAACTAAAATACTTTTATCCAACTATCGATAGTTATAGTAGAAAAATACATAGAATCGTTAGATAATTAATGGTACTTTTCAAACTATTGAAATTTGAAACTTTAAAGCATGATAAATTTAGTAGAAAATTAAGGAATAAATTATTTTTATTGCAATTAAATAATTGCTTATTAAAAAAAAATATGATATTTACGGCTATTATTATTATTATTATTATTATTATTATTATTATTATTATTATTATTATTATTATTATTATTATTATTTGAATTTCTTTCTATAGTTACATCATGTAAATATACATTTAAATTATTTTAATTATTTCCAGTATTTTAAGCGAATAATTTCATAATTCTTACGCTATTGGAAAGAACATGGTTTTACCTCGAGAATAGGTTTCCACTTCAACACAGAAGCACTAAAATATACCATTCCCATACGTGAGACTGTTGCGGGTGAAGCATTATCAATATTATCGGGTTCAAAAACAAGCTTACAATTTGATGCCATAACCATTCGATCGCCATTAGCTAAGGTAAGCGTTTTATTATCATCTAATACAGAATTCAAATTTTCTATCCATACAGCATCAACTGGACCATCTAAAACAATCCATAAATTTTCGTTTTTTTTTATTAATGCCGATCTCCGCCACAAAGTTGAGAAGATTCCATCTGTCCAATCATTTGTAGTTGCATCAAGTCGACCAAACATTTCTGGCGCTGTTATAGCCTGAAAATTAAATTTTCAATTTCTATATTATAATTATTATTGAAAAATTTTATATATTCAAGGTATTATATTGATTTCAATTCATAAATAAATGTGACCAAACCTTAGGATTCATACGGACTTCTTTATGCGGACTTCCTAATTCAGTCAGTGCTTTCATAAGAGTCCATATGCATCGGGTTTTACCAGACCCAGTGGGTCCCATAACCATTAAACCATGTCGCACAAGAGAAGTTTCATATAACTAATATATACATATATAATACAATACAATACAATGAGTACAAAAATTTATAAACATTTATTTTGAAATTTATACTTTTTGTTTTTTATCATTAATATACGAAAATATTTCAAATATTATAATTTAAAACAATTGATTTCATATTGTTGAGTTAACAATAAAAAAATACTTCGACTACGTTACATCATTAAGAATTTTATTTAATAAAATTAAAAAGTGGATCAAGTAAGCCACTCGAGTTATTTAATAATTAATTTTTAAGATATATCCATACTTGAATTATTTTTAAATTCCATTCAGGATGATTTATAAGGCCAAGAGCCTCGGTAGCATGAGAAATACTTTTTTGCAAGTTCTTGTAGGTCTGAGTTGTTAATTTAACCCCGGGAAACATATCATCAATAAGAGAAAAGAATAAAGGCTCATCTTCGTCAACTAACTTTGATAAATTCATATCTCTAACAGATTAAAAATGAAATTTATGTCTAGTATAATAAATTATTTTGATTGAATTTATATTAATAACTTTTGAATCAAAACAAATATTAGACCATAGTTTTTTGTAAGAAGAAACTTTATTAATATAGAGATAATTATAAACGGTTGTTTCATTGAAAATTTTTAATATTTATTAAATACTTTTAGTAATTAATACTCTACCATAGTTTTATCATTAACTTACCTTAATACTCTCATTAAACTTGTTTCTTCAGAATCATCTGGATGAGCCCTTTTTTGAGCACCGAGAGTTCTTAAACAAGATAATATATTTCTTAAACCAAAATCATAATGAACTTGTTTACTCAATTGTTCTTCGCAAAGCTTATAGAGTGTGAAAAATTTTCGTGATAATATTATATTCTCTTTAAAACCACAAGCTGCTAACTTCACACGCATAATAATCTAATAAAGAAAATAATAATACGTAAATAATAAAATAATAAAATAATTTAAAAAATTAACAAAATATTGATATATAATCAAATATACAGATATTTACTTGTCTGTCAGGAACCATCATAGCTACACTTCGAAACATTATTTTTAAATTCTCAGGTAATTCTTGTCGACCAGCATATCCAGGATTCATAGTAATAAATAGACCAAATTCATAATCGATAGAATATGTTTCACCATCGCTAAAATAGAATGTAATGAATTTCAATTATATTGTTCCAGTATGAATTATAATATATTTAATTTATATCATTTTAATAGATGAAATATTTGTGCACGTATAAGCATTGAATTTTTTAATATATTATAAAAATCTGAATTAATTATTTAAGTAATTATACCAAATTTGAAAATACCTGAATAAAAAATTAGTTTTTTTATCTTTTTTTGCATTTAAAATAATTGCAATCTGTTGAGCTGCAACAGAAAGAACAGGTAATTCAATTCGATTAAATTCATCAAAACATCCCCAGGTTCCAGATTGTGCTAAACCCTGTAAAAAATTATTTTATCTTTTATACCAAATTAGTAATCTATATAAGCCTACCAGCAGTTTAATATACAACCTTAAAAATTCTTCCTAATCCTCTAAAATCCATTTGATCGGAACAATTAAATACAACGACATATTTGCCTAAAGCTTTTCCCATATCTTTGACAGTTTCTGTTTTTCCTGTACCAGCGGGTCCAGCCGGAGCACCACCAAAATTCATACCTTAAATAATAGTAATTAATAGAAATATTTATATATATATTCAGTAATGTATATTTACAAAGGAATAGTACACAATAAAGTGAATGATACAAACAAACAATCAAAAGTAATAACTACCAGAACAATTAATTTAAATTTAACTATAATTATATGAAAATTAATTTAACATATATGTTTACCATTTATTTTACATTTTTTAAGGTGGGATTAATATATCCACTATTCAATATAATTTTATTAATATTTAATTATAATGCCGTCAAAATTTTCACGCATGTGTCACTTAAATAAAGAAATATAAATGTAAATAGCTTACCAACTGCTTGTGCTAATGTTATGTAACATCTGTCAGTCAATGGCGTAACGACGAGACGATCCGTACAACCTAAGAATTCATTTTGGTAAAGAATCGTAACGTCGGTAATTTTAATTGGTACATTTTCTAAGTCTTCATCATAATAAAAGCGAGCTTGTTTTAACCATTCAAAATCTTGCAAATTTTTTATTCTAAATCGGCATAAATCGTCAAAAATATCTCTAAAAATTATTCATAATGATTCAGCAAGTTTGAAATGTTATGATTATAAAATCATTAATAACAGTAACAATAAAAATAACAGTATATTAAATGAGAGTGTATAAATAAATGACAATAAAATACTTTTGGTGAACATGAATGGTGATTAAAGCTTCATATTTTTGTCTTTCGTATTTTGTTAAATCTTTAATCGTAACTTCGATAAGTCTATTCAACAGATCAAGAAACCACTGATTTGTCTTTTTCATTATAGTTCTATCTTTCAGAGAAAGTTTTATTGCTTGCTCTGATTGAGTAGTCCATAGAACTTGCATTGCTAACAAACCAACCTAAAATATAACAAAATTAATCATTTTTACCAATATTACCAATTTATAAGTAAAGTCATTAATTAATTATTGATAATTTACTTGGAGTATGGAATTATCAATTAATGTTAACAAATCTGTATCTGGCTGTGTTAGAATTTGTAAGCCTTGAGCAATAACAGACCCAAGGGATTGACAATGCATGTTTAAAAGAGATTTCAACCAATTTTCAACACTTCCGGTGCAAACTACGGGGACTTCCAGAACAATCTTTTCTTTTTCACGTGAATATATCGACAAAATTTTATCATATTCTTTCTCGGAGAAATCCATCTAAAAATGAAAACTTAACTCTCTAAAAAAAATGCAATTTACAACTTGACATATTCATATTTTTATACACAATTGTAATTATAATTTAACAGCAAAAAAAAAAAAAAAAAAAAAAAAAAAAAAAAAAAAATCACGATTATATACGAACCGTATCAATATTATCAAAGAATCCATCTAAATAAGAAATAATTGTATGAGAATCTGCAGCTTGGCCTAATATTTCTAATAAGCTTGGATCCGAGATAAAACAAAATCTTGGAAATATCGCTCTTTTCGTTTCAAGATACCTGTGTATATAAAAATAATTTTCATCGATAATATACTAAGATTTTAATATTTTTATATGTATTTAATTAGTTATAAAAAAAAAAAAAAAAAAAAAAAAAAAAAAAAAAAATAGTAGTACCCGCTAAGCGATTTCTGGCACGATTCAAGTTGCTCCAATAAATGTGGGAGAAATTGGCCCATAGTTTCATCACTTGTACATGTCTCAACGGCATTAACTTTCTCACGAGCACGATACATTAATTTTGTCCACGATTTATCAATACCCTTTAAATATAAACATTAAAGAAAATTAATTATTATTGTAAATAAATTGCGATAATATTACTGGATTTGTAAAAAAAGAATACATTAAATCGCTTTGCTTCTGTAGGTAATTGTTTAGATATATCGCCACCAATAAAAACTGCTTCGAGATAAGCCCAAAGATTTTGTACAATTAACCATTTGGCTAATATTTCAGAAGTATTATTTAGCTTATACTGCCAAATTTGAATGTCATTTTTAAATGGTGCATTGTATCTTAAAACAAAAAACAAAACAAAAATAAAAAATATTATATTGTTAGAAATTTTCATTTAATTCGAAATATAAATTCCTATGTATTTAATCGTATGAATATAGTATTTAGTATATATATATATATATATATATATATATATATATATATAAATCAAAGAAAATTGAATTTTTATTTACCGATTAGCTAATAATGAGCTTATAACCATTAAGCTATCTTCCAATTGAGAAATTATCTCTTGAGTTTCTGTACCTTTCAATAAAAGTTCGCCTCTTTGTTTAAAATTAGAAAATTCCAAATTTACTATAGACCAATCAGCAATTACTTGCTTAAGTTTACTTTCAATATCCTTCTCTTTAATTGCACTTATACAAATATCCTATAATAATTAGTGTTAACGTGTATTAAAATATTCATATCTATGTAAATAAAATATCTAAAATTATTTGTATAATTTTTTAGTTATTAGTAATAAAGTTTTAAGTTGTAAAATTCTACCTCAACATCGTCTTTGTTTTCCAATAAAGGAGCTTTCATAACAATGGCTAAATTAAAAGTTTCCGACTCGATATCAAATACATAATCGCATAATTCGGACATTCTCTTCCAATGTCGTTCTTTCATGGCTTTATTAGCCATCAGTTCCAAAAGTGGACACGTTTGATTAAAATCATCTATTTTTTTTTTTAACTCAATGTATGCTGGCCATTCCCTTAAGGCTCTCGGTAATCTTCGACATCTAAAAATTCATTTACATAATTAATTTATAAAGCAATTTCAAAATATATAAACATTTTGAAAAGCAAACCTGTTCTGAAAGTCAGTAAGCTCTGTATTAATCACATCTGTATCGATTTCTGACCAAGGAATTTCAAAATAACCATCTATAGATCGCGTAACTTGTAAATATAATGAATATAACTTTTGTAATAGATTAAGCTCTCTTTTACGCTTATTTAGTATTGGATAGTCAGTACTTTCAAGGCCAAACAAACTTTCTCCACTACTGTAAGTTTCAAATCTTTCTGCCAAATCAGTAAACCATGCTTGGAAAAAGAGTACTCTAAAATTATAAACAAATTTTTACAACTTTTTATTGATAATTCAATTACTTATATATTTAAACATTTAAATAATAGATAAAAATTTATATTGTTTCTGAATGAAATGAATAGTTTAAAATTATGTTAGAATATTATTATTAGTGTAGTGTAGATTAATTTTTCTTCATAGTTTTATTTTAAGCAATGAAAATTATCATTAATATAGTAAAATTTTTGCGATACATGAATGACATGAAAGAAAATCACTTTATAATTTAATTAATTAAAACAATTAACTTAAAAAGCATGCGATATTAGACTAATAAATAATATTTATATTTAAAAAAATTATTAGAATTATAATATTTCAATTTCTTTAATAATACAATGAAATACAAAAATTCATAATATAGTTATAAATAATTTTAAAGTTCTACAATTTAAATAAAATGGAAATCTTAAGCATCTTATATTTTTAATTATTTTTTTAATTTTATTGTTTTTATTTGTGTACGAGTTGAAAGATTTCTTTTTCTATAAAATAACCCTATGTAAAAACAACAATGTCTTATGGATTTATTTAAGAATAAAATAATTATCTATTTATATAAATACAATGCTATACTAGAGTTCACAAGATATATTTACATGCGCTTATTTATATAAATAAATGTTGAACGAAATTTTGCATTAATAAATTTTGTAATTAGCAGAATCAGGTAAAAATATACTATTAGCAATTATAACTTAAAATAGTGTCACTAAGTACAATTAAATTTGTGTATAATTTTAGACAATATAAAGTATATTGTAATATATAAAACAGTCGAGTTTCAGTTTTAGCATGCTAACAAAAAAATTATTTGCAGAATATGTAAAGCTGCCTTTTGTATGTATTGTCTTTAATCATTTAAACTCTTAGTTATATTAGAGAAATTTTTTTTTCTATCAAGTATGTGATATTATTATTATGTGTAATAATTTATCACTATAAATCATTCATATATTTCTAGAAGTTACATGCATTAATTACTAACTATAAAAAATTTCCATCTATAAATGTGTAAATATACGAGATCATAGTAAAGCAATAATCTTCTTTAAAAATTTAATCATTTTTCTAATTAAAATAGTATTATTAATTTTTTTAATTTTTATGTATTTTCATGTTTAATTTTTTATATAATTTTTATTTATTGTATTAACAAGAAATTTACCTTTCACTGGCTTCTTTCGCCGAGATTCCAACAATCAACGGTCCTTTTATATCAAAATCTTTGTCAAATTCCAGAATTTCATTTTTAAGAATAGCCATTCCATGAACAAGTTCATATTTTAATGGCTCTTGCATTTTACAGATTTTATCTTGAACTCCTTTTGCCATTTGAAGCATGTTAGTAAAATTATAACGAAAACTATTAACGATATCCTGCTCTTCCTTAGAAATTTCAATTTCAAATGTCGCCAGAAGTGTATAAACTTCTTCGGTATGAATTAACTCTTGATCCATTGATATGAAATCTTCTCGAAGTTCCGACAGACATTTCATAGCAACTCGTACATCTTCCAAATCCTTAATAACTCGTATTAATGGCTTATTCTTATTCACAATATACTCTGAAATCTTTTTTAATTTCTCTTTATAAATACTAGATAAAATTAAACCTAATGTTGTTTTCCATGATTTTGCTTCAACTGTAAGTGCCAATTTTAGCTTGTCTGAAATTGCAATCCTATTAGTTTAAACTACATGAATATCTTGCAATAAATAATTACCCATATTAATACGAAGAGATCCAATAATATAATACTCAGGGAGGTTCTGAATTTCCAAAAATAGTGCCTCATATTCGTTAAATTTTTCTGTCATTTCATATAAGTATGGATCGGATTGTAGAAACTCTTTGATATATTCGTTTTTATTTTTTTCCCATAGATAGGAATACCGCATATATATCTATATAACATATAGAGTCTCTTAAATAAATTCTTATGATTTTATTAGATATTTATTTATAGACATTTATTTGTTTATATATTTTCATATAATAATTTATCATATGTGGTACCATATGATAATGATACGCTTGTTTATTAAAAATATAATTATATCCTTAAAGTCTATAAAAAAAAAAATACTCTTACGTTTCCAACTTTCGAAATGTCACCTTTCAAAACGAGCATTGCTCCTCGTAAACTCATTGAAGTTCGCAATATTTCTTTATGATCAGAAATATACTCATAATAATTCGCCAATTGTTGAACTGAGATAATTTAAAATTATATCACTTTTTTTTTAAACATTAGTTAATATTATAATTATTTCTCGTCATTTAATTACCATCAGCTGTAGATTTTTTATCGTATTGTTGACCCCACATAGTCACATATTTATGAACTTCAAACAAACTATTCATAACTCGATTAAAATCATTTTGCAATTCATCGAGAGATGGAACAATTATTATATTTGGTATTTGAAGTACAAAATCTGTTTGCATCAAAGGTTTTTCCGTTTCTAACATCGAAACTTTCTTAAATAGTATACTGATAAAAAATTAAAATTACATTAAAAAACTGAATTGTACAGAAATTTTTTTTTTTTTTTAATGTATTAAAAAATACGTTCTATTTGTAGAAATAACTACAAATACAATTTATAATACACAATACATTTAATAAGCATAATTATATTACTTTATCATGTTATTCTTATAATCTCTATTTTGCAATGTAAAAAGCAATATATGCTTCTTTCATTATTTAATAATATAAAATATTTTAATTATATTATAAACAATGATAAAAATCAGTTATACATTTTGTAAAATATCAAAAAGTATATTAAATTATTATTATTAATTATTAAATTATTATAGCCATATATAATTAAAATTATTTCATAGCAAAGTACATTTTTTGAATAATTTTTATAAAACTACTTATATTAATAAAAATTTTAATAAGAATTGAAAAAAAAAAACTATAATTAATATGCTAAAAATTAATAACTAATCATCATGATTTATTACCTGGATGAACCAACCATTTTCTTCATCAATTCCAATGTTTTTCTTGTACATTTTACTAAAGAATCAATTAGTTTTTGATTAAAATAAGCAAATAACTCCATGCAATCGGTATGCAAATGTTTAATATTAATTTTTATTGATTTCTCTATTATATCGAAACCTATTAAATAAATATAATAATGAGAGTTTTTTTGTGTGTATATATATATATATATATATATATATATATATATATATATATATATATATATATATATAAAAGAAAAAAAGAAAGTATAAATTACCGGGTTCAAAAGGTCCTTCCATTAAGTTTGATTGAGAAGTAACAGCTTTGCTTACTTTTGTTGGGTCCAACCAATCGTACTTTGTCTTCTCAATACTCGGATCTTTTATTAAATCAACAAACAAGTTAATTATTTCTTTTACAGCTTCCTCAGCTGTCGATGATTTTATTCCAAGTTCGTATCCAACTTTTATACTATAATTAATTATTCCGCTTGAAAATTGTGGAGGATATTGTGGATAATTTGCAAATTCAATTAATTGTGTATTAGCTATACTTTCAAAAATTTCATCAATTCTCGCTTCTTTCATATCTATCACTTTTTTTAAAAAAATTTGAATATTTTTAATCGTGTTACTCATATTTTCAGACGAATCGTCAAACATTAGCGAAGTCCATGTTATAATAGATAGACATGGCTGAAAAGCAGCTTCAAGTTCTATAAGACAAGGTTTCATTAACTTCAAAAATAGTGGTGGAATCGATCGTCTTAAATTGTTATTTTCCTCTACTAAATCTTTTATTGTCTCAACGTGATGTAATATTTTTTGCTGATTAACAAATAAAATTTTTATAAAATCAGGTACATCCAAACCAAATTTTAACATATATTCTGATTCTCGAATTACTTCTATTATGTAAGGATCAAAATTTATTACATACTTATTGGTTTGTGGATTTCGTACAAGTAACGGAGCTGTTAATGCCAGTCGCACCTTTCAGAATAATATTATTTAACGTAATATTACTTTGTCATAGAATTTACATTTTATTATACATTTTAATTTTACTCACAATTTCAGTTGATTTGTACCATGCATTATGATGCAACATTTCGTAATGAATAAATACAGCAACTAAAGCATTATACATCTTAATACATTTATGCATTCTTTCATGCGCAATAACTCGGGGACGCGTTTTATAAATATCCATTGGCATTTCTATTCGTTTCATGAGTTGTCGTATCCATAAGATTCTGCCGGATATAGGTGGAATATTTCTTGGTAAAGGAGGATTCGATCTGTCTTCATTATATTTATCTCTGACTTCCGCTATTTCATCCTCAAACATTTTCGATAATTCTAAATACTTCCGGTCTATCCAAAGATGTTTAAAATTTAACTTCTGAAATCTTAAAATTATGAAATAGATTAAATTCTTTTCATAAATTTTAATTACTTTCAAATAGAATAATAATACTTTATAGTAAATTTAAAGGGAAAACATGTGATAACTGTGCATTTATATGAAAAATTTTATTTTGAATTCTCTAAGCTGTAAAAATAAGATTTGCTTAAGACTAAATACCTCTGTAACATGACTAAAGTTAGTTGTATATTCGGCAAGTCAGATATAGATTCATAAAAAAACTTTCTAAGCTCAAGTTCTGTTTCAATAACATTATTTTTAAATTGATTGTAAGCAGGATCAAAATCTGCTTTTCTGAAGTCTAGTGGATCATAAGGTTGAGAACTAATTTTTTCATAAAACGAGGTAAACTTCTGAGCAAATGTAGCAATTCCTTCAATAGTTGAACTATGTAAAATTGAATAAGTTAATGTGATTTCTAAAATATCTATGAGCTATAAATAAAATGAAATTTTAGTTAAACAAAGTTTTAAGAAAACGATGATTGATAACGGTCATTGATAATAGGTATATCATACTTTTTTCAATCTCATTTTAAATGTGTTAAATTTTCCAAACACATGTACTTCTGAGACTTCAATAATTTTATCATCCAAAGATTCTTTAATTTTTCGCCTCATTTCATTATAATATTCATAATATAATTCATTAAGCTTAATGCAATCCTAAGTAATTATAAATAATTTAATGTTTTACAAGGTTTACACAATTATAGTTGATCTTTCAAGTCAAATGTTAAATTATGAACGAGCAATTTCAGCTTTATAATAATCTATATTAATTCTATAAAAGTAATTTACCTTCATTTTAGCTACCATAATAGAATTCGGCACATCCCATATGGAATCTTGATTATGATTTGTCAAGTATGATTTACAAGATAAAATCATTTGATTTGTTATCTATTTAATAAACAAATAAAATCAGAACTGTAATGTCGTGAATTGTGATTTATTTCAAATAGTAAAAATTTAACACAAATCACCTTGACAAAAACTGCAGTTACCATTCCTTTAGTATTGAAAAATCGAGAAGTAGTGAAAATCATTTGTAACACGTACATCAACGAAGCTAAATATTCTCCAAGATTGGTCGGATCTAATCTGTAAAGACAGTGGGTAAACTTGTCTAAAACATATAAATACTTTACATTGTCTTGTGCTGATATTTCTACTGCTATCACGTGATCTTCCAATTTCTTCCATTTCTAAAAACAAGCAGACATTGAATAAATTTTCATATAATTTTTCTATAATTTTTAATATTTTAAAGTAAAAATTTTTATTTCTTACTTTCACTATCTTTGATTTAGATATTTTTAAATATTCTAAATGAGCTTGAATTTCTGGCAATTTTATCTGCTCATTCAATGCTGAAAATCGAGTAAGAATTTTTCTCCAGTATGCGAGTTCCGCCGATGGTCCTATTACTTCCGTTTCCCTTCGTAATTGTTGGCTTTCAACTAATTCCTTTGGAAAAAACAAACATCAAATAACAAAATTATATTTATTTTTATAACCAATTTATGCGTAGAAAACGATAATTACTTTTTCTATTAATTTCATCCAATCTTTTATAATATCCTCTACCTTTATAAGAACTTTAAAATTCCCAACATTTTGTTGGATTAATTCAGTATTTGATAAATATTTATTATAAAACTCGCTGCTTACTTCAAATACAACTTTTTTCTCTAAATCAATCTTTATACCTGTAAAAATTGTCCTTATACATCATTTGCAATAATAATAACCTTACATAGCAAATCTAATCTAATTTACATATATTTTCTCATTATGATTTATAGAGAGTATAACTTACTATTTATAAAGTTGCAAAAGTCTTTAAAATCTGCTACAAAATTTTTTTCGATAATATCAGAAGATAACATTTTTATAAATTTGAATTGTAAATATCAGTGCGAAAGTGTCTTTTTATATTTGACATGTACGATTAGTCTCGATTGATAACTATGAAATAAGCACATTATATTTGTAATACTTGAAACATATACACATTCAATTTTTAATCAAATTCATTCGTAAAATATTGTGAAAAAAAGTTTCAAGTTACAGAAAATGCAAATATACCGTATTTTATAAGAATAAATACAATTATATCTATTCATAAAAAATTGTATAAATTATATAGACAAATATTGAGATTAATATATCTTTAAATAATAAAAATTATCAACATTTTGTGATAAAAAAAAAAAAAAATATATTAAAATTTAAAAAACTAAAATTTTATATAATGAAGTAAAGTTGTTAAAATATAATAATTAATTTGAATCATATAAGATTCATAGATTATATATATTTTCAATGAAATTATCATATTATGTTAATTATTACATTATGTTAGTGATATGTTAAATTACTAACATAATAATTAATCATTAGTTTTATGTGTTTCGATTTTAAAAATATCACTTACTTCATGAAAATATTCCAATTTAAAAATACGCGTTAAATGTAATATAAGTGTAATATAAAATATTAAATAAGTAATAATGGAAAAAAATTAAATTCAAGAATAAGTTACCTTGTAAATGCAACCCAAACTTATATAATATTGTAGAATATCGTATTGTCAATTGCTTACGTAAATTCAAGAAAATTCATTTAATAATCATTTTGAATGCTATCATATATCTGATAATATTTAATCCCCTACAAAACTAATTTATAATTACAGTTTTACTTATTTGTTAACCTACTTATTTTATTAATGTTCTTATAGTAATTTAAAATATATTTAGAAGAAATTTCGGTCATTATAATTTTTAAATACTTAAATCTCTTAAATCAGAATATGCTATATGATTAAATAAATTACATTGAATAAAAAAGCAGTCATTGCGATTAAATAAAATAACCAAGCGTATCATAAGATAATATGCAATAAATGTCTGATCTTCATATTCTAATTCCTAATAAAATCGATTAAAAATTTATCACAATATTAAAAGTTATATAATTTCATTTTTAATTTTTCTACTTATTACGATTTTAAGAAGCGAGTATTAAGGATAAATATTGATATAAAATCTATCGTATCTTATTAATTATATTTTTTTTAATATTTTATAAATATAACAAAATGTAAAAAAAAATTCTAAGCATGTAGTTTTTACTAATTTCATAATAAATTTAATCGATTTCAAATTCTTTGTTGCAATACAGTTCATTTTGGAAGTATACAGTTGTATACGAAGTGTATGAAAAATTAATCGTAAAAAATTACAAAATTTATAAACTAAAAGTAATTAGAGTTTGAAAAAATGCATCATTCATTATAAAACATAATAAAATAATCGTATCAGCCAAAAATATTTGATAAGCAACGTAATAAATGTATTTAAAAATTATTTTCAAATTCTAATTTATTTAAATTTTAGCAAATTTTATTCAATTTTTTTTAATTATTAAAAAAAAACTGTTTTATCGTATGTCCGTAATTAATATCTAATTTATCTTCAGTAAATGTTAGCTACAGTCGATAATAAAGATATCTATATTTTAAACATTTTTTTTTTCATTTAATAAAATCATATAATAAATAGAAAATATTTTTAAAATATATTAATTTTTTCAATTTTTTATTATATGCGTCATATGTTTTATAAACATTACATGTGATAATTAATACTGTAGTAGTAAAGGAATTTTTCAATAGGTGTCCTTGATGTCCAAAAACTATTCCTTATTCGTATAATACTGAGATTGTATTTTAAAAATTATTGTATAATGACTATTTATATAATTTACTTAATAATGATATTCATTTTCTTTCTAATAATCAATATATTTTTTAGAAAAGAATTTTCTGAAATTAGTTGTATGCATCGTTTTTTAAAAATTGATAAAAATTTAATTTCATTGGAATATTGAATTTCAATAATAATTGTAAATAACTTTTTATTTAACATTGTATTTAATAATTATATCGTTAAATACATTTTATATAATTTACGTATATATTATTTAATTACAATACATTTAAGTGATATTGTTAATTGCATAAATAGACATAATATTTCAATTATTTTAATAATTATCTTATTTTTATTCATATAAATATAAATTTTGGTTTATAATATATATATATATATATATATATATATATATACTTTAGTATGTTATATATTAAATGTTTTTAATATTATGTCATAAATACATTAATAAATCTTTACGTTTTTGACACTTTTGGAATATAAAAAATGTATTATATAAATTTAAAATTTTCATTGTTAGAGTACATGTAATAATTATTACTATTATATGTTTGATAAAAATAAATGTATATATATATATATATATATATATATTACTTGATTAAGTTAAGAGAAGTAATTAAAAAAATCATTTTATGTAATTCCATTATAATAACTAAAAAATTCATAGTTATAAGGTACCTAATATTAATAACAATTATTATTATTTTGTGTATATACTATTGTTATTTTGAGTTCTTAAACTAGTTAAACATTATCTGAATTTCATTGAATTAAATTTTAAAACAAATTGTTATAGTGATATATATAGTATTAACATTCTGAGAATGTTCCATGTAAATCTGAATAGTATAAGTGATAATTATCATATTGTACTTATATATTTTATTAATAATATAGAATACTAATAGGTGCATTACATCTGTTTGATAATTAATACTCTTTCAATTAGTACACTCAAAGTCAATTAATACTCTTTTAATGCAAATAAATTCTTTATAATATAACGATTTAGAAAATATATCATTATACTGTATATTATAATGAAAATGTACAAAAATAACCATTTTCAATGATATATTGATATATTTGAAATTGCCATTTTTTTAAGTCATCAAATGTTTCGTTTAACTACAAATATACTATTTTTAAAACTAATTTTTATTTTCAATTTATAATTTTAAAATTATATAATATTTAACACGCTTTGTTTATAATTAATATTAATTGTATACAATTCTTTAAATTAAGAAAAAAATATATATATTAAACCGTAAAAGTAAAAAGAAAAAAGAAAAAAATGGTATTGCACAATAATCGGAAGTACTATAATTATATTAAAAAAAATAGTATTTAATATGGAAATTAATATATAAACTTCATACAAGAAACAACTATTTAAAATACAAATGCCGAGTTGTTTTGATAACTTCGTCATTTTAGATTTTTTGACTACTTCGTTCTATTATTTAATAAGGTGAATTATTGTTTTTATGGATTAATTTAAATAACATAAAGTCTAAAAATTAATATTCTAAAAAATTACTATTGGATAATAACATCATATTTAAGATTATATTTTAATATTCATTCTACTAAACTTCAAATATATAAAGTATAAGACAATATAAACAATCGTTTATATTCTTTCAATATAAATTATATTTCTCAAACATTATTTTCGAGTAAAATTTTATAAATTTCTATTTGATTACATTACAATATAAAAACTATGATAATAAAAATTTGTATACGTAAAAGACTTTATTCCCCTGTTAAATAATTGTTAATATTTTTTGTTAATATTTTTATTGTTAATATTGTTTTGTAATACATACTTAAATAATAATTGAATACTATATCCTAAAACATCTTATATAT